TACAAGCCACGGTAACGGTACGGCGACATTCGCCTTTCAGAATTGGAAATACATGTGAGCCATATTAAGTGGCATGTTTTGGTGCTGTCAAAAATCCGAACACAGAGCGAGGATGTGATAGCCATAAATTCCGGTCACCTTCTTTATTTCCGACAAGAAGACCAACCATCCCAAGGTGGATTAGGATTTATGTTCAATAAATCGGTCAACTGCAACGTGGCAGTGTGTCATCGAGGGTAGTATACTTCGTCTTAAAAATAGCCAAAAGATATTCCTTGAAGTTTATACAAGGCTCTGTCTTAATCAACACATCTTTCGTTGTTGTATTTTATATTATATAAACCTAATGTACCTAAGGTAAAGGTAACTGAATTTTAAATTAGTAAAATATTTATGAACCGTTCTATTAACAACACGTAGAAAAATAAATGGTGTCTCTATTATTGTTTTTTTTTTTGCCTTCAGCGACAAAGCCTTCAGAAAATGTGTCATAAACAACGAGGCGTATCATTCACGTGTTTCATCTTTTGCGTTTTAAAATTCGTTGGTAATTAATTTATGTTAAGTATTATCACATCTGTGTTAATTTTTATTGATATAAATTATCTAAAATTAAATTTATTAACATTAGTAAATTATTTGTATTGATTTTACACACAATGATATTTGTGTGTTTATTGTGTAATTTTTTAAAATATAATATTTATGTAATATTTTGGACAATATAAATATTTTTATCTTATTATTAATTTAATTTTATTTTTTTGAAGTTTTACTTCTGCCGTGTGTAAATTGCACACACACACACACACTTTTAAGTCTTTCTATATACATGTAAACACTCACGTATGTATTCTCAAAGGAGAAGGCAGTGGTATTGTACACACTTGCATTTTGTCAAATTTAATCTAACGCACGTAAATGGGGGTAACCTTGTTACTGACAACCGGGGCCCTTAGGAATTAAATATAGGTAAATATTAGTAGTATATTCAAACCGAAAGGTAAATGAAAAGGTAGCAATGCAAAGATATAGAAAATTCACATTAGGAATGAATGGGGACAATAACCAAAAGCTCAAACATGTCACGGACACTATGGTCACAAATTGAATTGGTGTTCCCAGCAAGTCTGTCACGTTTAACTATTTTTTTTGGTAGTCATAATGTCTAGCAATATGCAGTTTGAAATGATTTTAATTTATCATATGGGTGAAAACAAAAGCTCTGATTTATGCACACAAAAACATAAATACCTTAACTGAATAAAACAGATTTAATTAGAATTTACATAACTATTTTATTTTATTTTATCTTCTAATGTTTAACAGAAGTTTATTTGGCTTTCTGATGTTAGTTACTTTGTGGTGAAATTCCAAATATCTGTAAAAATTATGGGAATCATAAGACAATAAGACGAGAGTACACACAGCTTTGCATCACTTAAAGATCAACTGAAAGAAAATACCTATGGCATTAGGTCCACCCTATCCAATGGCTTTGCAGGAAGTATATAAAAAAACCGGAGTTCAATACAAATTTATAAGTACATATTGTAGTAGTAGTTGTACAGTAAATCCAGTTTTCAAAACCTATAATTACCTATATTATTGTGTTTTATAAGTGAAATTGTACCTTGACGAATGATTACGTACTTTAAATAACGACTATATGGCTAGCTAACTAGCGTGTACTAGTAGAACTCACGGTAACGTGGAAAACGAACATCACTAAAGACCACGCTTTAAAAAGAAACAAGTACTTAAACTTAACTAACGAAATAACTAAAAATGGTTATTTCGTTGCGTTGTATGCCGTGTAAGTGGGTGCGAGGGGTATATCAGCTAAATCCCTCTATGACCTGCTTAAAGACCTTGGATTGCCAATATTGGATTGGATTGCTTCAGTAAGTTCCAAAGCGGCATTGCTAGGCTCATATCAAATATGGGGTACCTTTACCTATGGGGGTAACACAGCCGACAGAAGAGTACTCCTTAAACCTATTCCTGGGTCGCAATTCCCAGGCGCTGTGTTGTCCCCATCTATCCCGCGAGTGACCCGGCACCTGCACGGTGAATCCATGGAACGCTAAGAAATAGGTCTCTTAATGATTTAATTACAATGTATAGTTTACCTGTACTTGTAATATAAGACGATGTTACTTGACAAATTTCATAGTTCTAGGTAAACAGGAAGTATCCTATAAAATTTTTATTGCCTTGAGAGTATCGAAATGTGAGTTAAATGCGAAAGCTGGGTATGAAGAAAGAGACTGTAGATCTGAGAACGTGGTTTTAAATTCAACTTGATACCTCAACGCGTTCCCGATATAAAGGGTCTTAGCAGACGGACAACAAAGTGATCCCATAAGGGTTCTGTTTTTCCTTTTGAGGTTCGGAACTCCAAAAAATAAGTACAAAAATAACCATTATAGTGTTATTTTCAAATTTCTATCGAAATTATAAAGGGTAGGAAAATAAAATTAAAGAAAAAAATAACCAATGTTGTGTTTTCATTACCCATGTGTATTGATTTTTCCTTTCAGTTCATTCAACATGAGAGAGTCTAAACTAGTATGATTATGAATTGATTCTTCTTTATCGAAAACCAAAACAAGACAGTCAGGTCTTCGTAGTTAGTTGCCAATACAATAAATTTATACGATTTTATGCCCAGAAGAGGAATTTTAATTTCGATTACAGTGGGCTTTCGAAGTTTTAGAAATGTTATTTATGTAAATTGGACAAAATTGGAATTGAATTGGATTTGGAATTTTAATAACAATTGAGACATAGTCCCCTTAAGTAAAGTAATTGAGTACTTACCCTATAAAAATCTACATCAATTATATAAAAGTACCCTTATTAATATCTTAAGTATTCAACGGGATGCTCTAACACCAGACACCGTTTGACAACACCAAAACTTTTTGTGCGCGTTTATACTTTGTATGCATGATATGGATCATAGGTTTTTGCTTCCATTTTATTTCCATTATTGAATTGCAAATAAAATCCTTGGCAATTTAATTCGGCTATTTCCTGCCACAGATAACCCACAGAGCAATAAACATGTGAAGTAGATTCGTTTCGTTTCGATCAGAGTTAAAATTAATGACGCCCACACGACGTCTATCAAAAATCATAATAAATCTGGCACGGATGCGCTATATGTCGCTACAGTAACCATTCGCTTAAAAATAAATTTGTGTCCAGCGGCCCCGGTCCGGTCGCAACGTACTCAACAGATGCGCGACATTTACATTGGATGCACTTTCTATTTGTGATACAGTAGCGAAGCTGCCTACGGATAGGTACATGCGCAGCCATAAAGGTCATTACATATTGATATCGTTATTAGCAGTTGCTGCACGTCTACAGTGTATTAAATTCTCCAATCAGACTTCTAGATTCTTACCTCAGCCTTGTAGAGAGATTTAATTATAAATTTTGTACGGGGTTAAAGAACCCCGGTTTAAAAAAAAACACTACAAAACTTGTATGTCGACTTTTTCCATCTCAAAAACCAAATCCCAAAGGTTTTTGCCCGCTTTAATTTAATTTTGTTGTTCTAAAAATACATTATTTTTTCGTGACATCACAACTAATCATTTTTTGTTTTTTTTTTTGCCCTCTTGAGCTTTGCCTTGCCCCTGGCCATTTTTATTACTTTTGTAAATAAGTGACGTTTGCTTGTATCTGGATGTCACCTACGTAAGAGTTTACACGTAACAGTTTATAGACCACACCTATAATTATAGAAAAACAATTCAGAACGTTAACAGTGTTTTAGAAGTCATTGCTTGTAATCTGCTAATATCTGTTTCGGAGTTTGGGTGTCTTCTATTTATAATGTGTATGTATTTACAAAAAAAGTATATAGTATTCTGTCAGTCAATATAGCTTTCATAGTACAAGCTCTGCTTAATTCGAAACTAGATAGCGTTGTGTGTATATGTAATAATGATAATAATATTATTATCATTATTAAAAACTGATCGGAACGATTCAGCGTAGGTGTAAACCACTTCAAATGTACTTAAATAATAATAGTATGCAGAACCTCAATATTCGCATTTCTCAAACGTGCAGGCTTCTAATCCGCTTTTGTGAATCCGGATGAATTTTGGAAACCTTTTTTTTTACTAGTCATACAGGTCATCTTTTTTCTTAAGCCATACAGGTATTTGCATTTAGTTATCATTATCTGATGTTGCTGAGCTGATACCGGAGCCACACTCTCCAGAGATGGGGAAGAGGGTTGGGCTCTAGTATCAGCTCCGGGGCACTCAAATAACGGCAACGCACTAGTGTCTCTTGAGTTACATGCGTCCATAGGCGCACTAGTCTCTTGTCATCAACTCGTACATAAAAGTTACATATTTCTGAAGGCAATGCTTAAATTCATGGTCGTAAAAAGTTATTTGATAGAAATATTTAAATCGGTCGGTCCACGTAAAAAATCGAAGTTCAGCCGTATCCTAGTAGACTTAAAGCCCAACCCAAACTAGTTTGGGAAAAAGGCTCGGTGAAAAAACTGTGTGACAAAGATTTTAAGTTTTATGTAAAAGAACTGTTAATAATTTTCAATTAAATATGTAAGTTTAAATTTTTATTTTTATGTTCGCGTATAATAGTCAATAAAATGTCAAATAGTTATTGAAGGCTATGTAGATATTAGTATCGTAAATTATTAGCAAATGGGCTGTATATTTAACTGGTATATTGCATTTGGAAGAAACACATATTATTACAGTGTTAAGCAAATTAAATCTAATATGAGCGCGCGACATACGCTTCGCTTCACGATTGTAACAATGGCGTCTAAAGACGATATTTTGTAACATCTACTTAACTTAACAAGCATTTTCAATTAGAAAAAAAAGACTTTTAATGTGGCGGTATTTTTATAGAGTAATATTGTTGTTTCAGGACTGTTGAGCTGATTAGTAATCATGGTTGCTGGCGATGTCACCCGCCGTGCCTCGATCACTGCGCCGTCAATGCATCGACGACCATCAGCAAGGCGTGGATCACTCATAAAAGGAGCACAGTCCACATCACAGGTAAATTGTAATCTAAGTCTTAAAGTATAAGAAATTTATTTATAAACCGACGATAGATTTCTAACTGAAAACAACAATCTAATAAAACATTAATCACGCACCAGAGACTTTCTATGAGAGGTATTTAAAGCAAATACTAGTAATTCGATATCTTTAATTCATAAAACTGCACATTTCGAAACACTTTTGAATATTTTCCACAAAGTTCTGGACTATCAAAAGACTGAAAAACACCAGTGTGACCGCATCACCACCACCACCGTGATCGAAAGCGATTTAGTAAGGAAACCTCTAAATGGTTTATTCAAAACATCGTCTCCTTGCCATTAATGACCGTTAAATCATGAAACTCTGGAAATGAAACCAAAGTCAACTCTGGATGAGTGTTATTTGTAACTGTTTGAGGAGCGAAAAAATCAACAACACTGCATGTGCCTCTAATTTCTGACGTTTTTTTCTTTTTAAAGTGATTACATCAGCAGTATACAATTAAAAACAAAAAAAAAATTTGAATTCAATGTGAATATTGAACATACACAAAAAAAAACGGAAAAAAAACTGCCTGACCACAGGGTTCTGTTCATTTCAGAAGCTGATGAAAGTAATTCTTTCCAAAAGACAAACTAGCTTTGCCATTTTAAAGATACCTCACCCTTATATGGCTATAGTCAATTTTCGAATCGCAAAGTATAAGTCTGTTATCGCAAAACTAATTTAATACCTCCACGCAAACCTGTTAAAATCTTGACAGATAGACACAAAGATAGAGAGAAACAGACAGATAGCGAAATAATAGCGAATATCGGTGCTTTACAACTACATAATATAATCTTAAATAGCTTAGACGATTTTGTTAAGTATAACAGTGTTCGTATTTATAGCGGAACGATAAGTGTACAATCTTGTTCCCAAGAAGTTTTCTTGGTTTTCATTTATCATATATCGCTCTCTGGCTAGATTAGTCTAAGTCTACTCTGTCTATACTACCTTTAAACAGCTAAGTGTATGTGTTCACTAACTGAACATAGTAGTTCGAACGAACGAACAGAGAATTTTCTATAGAGGTCATACGTTTGAAAGGTCAAAAGAATTTAGAGTAATGATTTTCGTATGAGAGATTGCTAAGTGAGAGAATGTCTTCATTGTATATGGATTTATTGAAATAATTAATAAGAAAAGAATAATTAATAAGAAAATATGAATATTATACACATATATGGGGGGCATCGACGTGGCTAGAAATAATATGGTTGTTCGTGCGATGGTCCTATAAATGGGTTGCACGGTGCACGGGTGACATTCCTGCTGAGAACCCTGGATAGTTCGGACGTATCTGGGACATTGTGATATGTGCCGATTTAATAAAGTGTTAAACAATAATTGAACAATTATTGTTGATACCTTTTTGATGTTACCTATTTAAAGAAAAAAGGGCCCGGTAGATCGGGTACATTCATAATGTTGTAATAGATTAACATTTTTCTCTTTCGTTACAGTCACCTAAATCATATATAAACAAGTATTGTACACAATACCTAATACATATAACTACTGCATTGTCTACTGTCCTAATTGATTATAGCCTTTACATGATTAGTGCAGCCGCTGTGGAGCTATTAATTAAAGCTCTTGTTACTTCTACATAGAAATAAAAATAAAAATATACTATTAAAGTATTAAGTAAAACATTTTAATTTTTCAAAGGACAACTATTAAAACTTTTTAGTGCTGAAGTTGAATTTGTAATATCGTGTGGAATTATAAACAGAGAAACAACTCACAAGACAATTTAACAAAAAAATTATAAAGCCTACATTTATAATTTTTTATAATTTTACAAACAATTTGAGCACGTAGTTCAAAGAACTCTCGTTTGTTTTATTTGCGGAGATCATAAACACAATCTCTGACAGAAGTACGCAAACAAAAATTGATACTTTTTGGCTGTCTAAACCAAAATAAAAGTTTACAAAGTGGAAAACAATTATACCGAATGACCTTTAGGCAGAGAATAATATCATATTTAAGTCGTAGGTGTAATACAATTTTTTCAATTTTTTTAGTGAATCACTGAATCCATTAACGTTCCTTGCGTTTATTTTATCTACGTCAGTGTTAGTTATGCTACCGAGCACTTCATGATTTGGATGGAAGTGTTGTAATTATTATAATAACTTAAATCACAAGTAGTACACAGGCGGACTTAATACCCAGGGCCTCAATTCTGCCGAGCGTGGGTCCTGGCCTTAGTCGACGAGGCTCTCGAGCCCCGACTGCGAGGGTTCTTCAGCGCATGCCTCGAGCGGGGCCAGTTTCCGAAATTGTGGAAGACGGGGAAACTGGTCCTCATCCGAAAGGAGGGGCGCCCGGCGGACTCACCGTCCGCCTACCGGCCCATAGTGTTGCTTGACGTGGTGTGCAAGCTCTTTGAAAGAGTGATTGCAAGGCGCCTCGTCAAGCATCTCGTGATGGTTGGGCCGGATCTGGCGGACAACCAGTACGGTTTCCGTCAGGGGCGCTCCACCGTGGATGCGATCAAGCTCGGGAAGGCTCTGGCGGAGGAAGCAGTCTCCCGGGGCGAAGTGGTGTTGGCGGTGTCCTTGGACATCGGCAACGCGTTCAACACTATGCCCTGGAGCTGCATCAGGGAGGCGCTCGTGTATCACGAAGTGCCTCTCTACCTCCGCCGCATAGTCGGGGCATAGTTGTCGGAGAGAGCCGTCGTCTACCCCAGTAGGACCCGTCTCGGTAGGCGTGAAACGTCGTGCGGTGTTCCGCAGGGGTCGGTGTTAGGGCTCCTCTTTTGGAACATCGGCTACGACTGGGTGCTTCGTGGTGCCTTCTTGGATGGTGTCGCCGTCGTGTGCTACGCGGACGACACACTCGTGACGGCGCGCGGCAAGACGCACCACGAGCAACCCTGAGGGCAACGGCCAAGGTTGCCCAAGTCGTTAAGCGTATCCGGCGGCTGGGTCTCGAGGTGGCTCTGCACAAGTCCGAGGCCCTGTTCTTCCACGGGCTGCGGAGGAAGCCGCCTGAGGGATCTAGCCTCATGGTAGGAGGCACTCGCATCGGCATCGAGCCCTCGATCAGGTATCTGGGGCTCTTACTCGATGGCCGATGGGACTTCGGATATCATTTCCGAGGTCTGGTCCCCAAGTTGGTTGGGGCAGCGCGTGCGTTGGCGCGGCTGCTGCCCAACATGAAGGGACCCGATGACTCCTGCAGGAGACTCTACTCGGGGGTTGTGCGGTCCATGGCCCTTTACGGATGCCCAGTATGGGCGGGGGCCCTGAAGGCCAGCAACGTCGCGATACTGCGACGACCGCAGCGAGTGCTGGCCATCAGGATCATAAGGGGGTACCGCACGATCTCCTTTGAGGCGGCGACCTGGAGGCGAGAGCCCTTGCGGCTCTGTTTCAGTGGCGCAAGGAGGCGCGGGAGTTGGGTCATTGTCCCGAAATTCGAGAAATCGATGACCAGAAAGCCATCATAGGGGATGACCAGAAAGCCATCATCAAGTCATCATAGGGGAGTGGAGGGAACGACTCGGGCAACCGAGCGCCGGGCACGCCGTCATCGCGGCGGTAAGACCCGTTATGGAGGATTGGCTCGAGAGGCGTCACGGGACCCTCTCATACCGACTGACGCAGGTGATCACTGGGAAAGGATGTTCCGGGGATCACCTGTGTGTGATCTTGAACAAACAATTGAAGCCACTAAGTAAAACATAAATGTAGAATTGTAGTTTGCTTATCAGGGATTGATCAATAAACTGTAATTCAACATTTCAGAAAGATTAGAGATAAAAAAAAAGTGTATAAGGTACAGAACCATTTGTATAATGCAAAACATCTTTTTCGCAGGAGGTGCCATGGGATATAATCGACCGATGTGCGCTACCGATTGTGCTCTGTCACGCAATAGCCGTGGTGTTGTCAACAGTTCTAAACGCTATGCACTTGAGCTCCATTTCAGTCTTCACTCTATTCCTTTGGTTTTCAATTTCCGTCACAGGATCCTTATGGTTCTACCATAATTTGCAGGTAAGGATGCGTCTGTGGACATTTGATAATGAATTTTAATATTTGTAAAAGTCTTAATACCATTAATTTTATCTATTACAAAATGTCATTGGTTGTAAAAAAATAAATATATAGCAAAATATAAAAGCAAAGCAAAAAAAAAGTATTTGGCAGTTTTCACATACATCGATTGCAAGTTACAAAGTTGTAGTCATTTGAACAAAATATAATATCGAAACCAGATCATAGAATAATTGATCACTTCATGATTTGATCAAACATTTCATGAAATGTTCGTACTCATTTCAGACTGATTTGAATTATTATTAAGTTTAGTTTTAAATCAACATTGTAATACCCGTAATAGGTACTTAGTTATACTATTTATTAAACAAAATTCTCCATTTGACACAAATCTTAATTATAATAATAATTTATTGTATTTACATCTTTTAAAAATCTTTTAAAATATAAAACAGTCATCTGTTATTAAATTTTCTCCTACCATTCTGACGTGCGTACGAAAAATCGAATATAAAGGCGTTATATCGACTATACTAACTACATGTTGGGTGGGAGTAGTATATTAAAATAAAAGCTTTGTGTGTGGTATCCATATTTATTAAAAATAAACAGAAGGTATAATTTAAATATACATATTACAGTAGTTATTAGTGGGTATAATACTAGGAAAAGTAGTTTACTTAGGACTGATGTGTTCCGGGAACAAAATTTCTGACGAGAGGGGTTGTGTAGATAGACAAAATATCATTAACGCCTCTGTTAACCCATGCAATAATTTGGTTATTAAAAATGAATAGGTACTGGGAACGCTATACATATATATATATATACATTATTATAAAACGTCATGGTGACAATAAATAATAATTTAAAAGTAGGTGACGGATTAAGAATACAGATTGTCACCACCCCTATTCATCCCATGGGTGTTGTAAGAGTCAACTAAGGGAAAAAACTATGCAGAACAACAACACTGCAGAGAGAAGGAGAACTTGACACAAACCCTATACCAACCCGTCTGGCCAGCGTGGTATAGTAGGCCAAAACCTCCTTTCTAAGGAGAGGCTTATGTCCAGCAGTGGACTATTAAAGGCTGTTGATGATGATGATGAGGCATCATACCTTTTGAAACAGATAATGAGTCACTATAGTTAAGTACGGCGGTTTTTACAAACTATCTCCAAAATAAAACTTACTAATCAGTCATTCCTGTAAAAATGCCTTATTAAAACTCATAAATCGGCCAAGATGTTGGTAAAAACAGGGGTGCCACAAGGATAAATTTTGAGACTAATTTTATTTATAAAGTTTCGAGTGGGGTATACGATAAATAAAAGTTGTCGGTAGTAACTCGTTAGGCGCAATAAAAATTCGCTTCGATGTTTATTCGCTGTGTCATAAAACAACACTGTCCCGTACGGCCGATACGCTCCGCTTTTGTAGTGCAATCTAAATTACTAGACTAATCCCGAATATCCGATGGAATGTTCCGTACAGAACCGTAAACGTAAAATAAGGCATCAACAAATTTCTATAATCTTCCAAAATTCGACACTGGACAAGCAATTATCAGAATTAAGAACCATAATCTCAATTCGTAGCGTTGTGCCCCACTTGATACTAAATGGTGCTGTCCTCCAAACACAACACAAGAACCACTCAATCCTACGGCGCAACAATAATAACTATAAATAATACTGTTTTACTGTACTGTGTGTACGACTGCCTCGGTGCAGTGCAGTGCAGTTGCATACGCTAATATGCTACCACCGCACCATAGCATATTAGCGTATGCGACTGCTGTGCGTTCGTGCCTGTTCCGAATACCGGGTCCAAATTGTGTAATGTTATTTGTTCTTGTATTCAAATACAATATACTTATTCTTTATGTATAAATTAATACAAAAAATAGATAAGACTGCCCTTTCCCGTTTTACAGTTTGTTTTTGTTTGAATCTCTACTAGACCAGATGATCTGATACAGTATAAGCAAGCAGTGAAATAAATCACAGGTAGGCAGGTAGTTTTTCCTGGATGTATTTTTATAAAAAGGTCTTATTCTTTCGGCCTCAGGACGCCTAAAAGCCTTTAAATCCATTCTATATTATAAAGGTGAAGAGTTTGTTTGTCTGTTTGCTTGAACGCGCTGATCTCAGGAACTACTGGTCCGATTTGAAAAATTATTTCAGTGTTGGATAGCCCATTTATCGAGGAAGGCTTTAGACTATATATTATCAAGCAAAAACCAATAGGAGCGGAGCACCAATGAAAAAGGTTTAAAAAAAGGGGATTTTTTTCTTTGAGAGCTTTCGCTGCGTACGCTGCATAAACGGAAATAGCTTCCTAATGTACTTTTTTTTTCTAATTCTACGTAAACAAAGTCGCGGGTTAAAGTTAGCTTTAGCAGAAACTAGTATGTTGATAACTTGTCCGTAACTATATGTCTTGTCCAGCATCAGCCCTCAGCATCTAACGAAGGTGTGGACGAATTGAACATATCTTCCGGTCCGGTGAACCGTGTAAGATAGACGCAAGTTGCCTGTTAACCGAATGAAGGCTTACCCTTACTGCCCTTCTCGATTATGTAGAAGGTAAAGGTACAAGAATTACTTCATACATTATAAACATACAACAAAAGTTAAGTTAAATGTCGGTCAATTATATGAATATATTACAACTTTTATATGTTAATGTATGGGGGTCTACCAATAAGAACGTCCTGGTTTAAAAATTGAATAAAACACACAATTTTTTATGAAAAAATGCATCCGATTGATTTATTTGATAGATAATTTTATGCAATTTATGTTTTAAATAATATATCGGCCGAATGACCGCCGCGGCTCTTTTTGCAGACGGTCACCCGCTCACACCAATTTTCGATGACGCGATGCACCATTTCGGCCGTCGGCTATGGCTCGTCGAATGTTGGTTTTTAGGTCACGAATTGTAGCTGGATTATTGCTGTACACTTTAGATTTAACGTAACCCCGAAGAAAATAGTCAAAAGGTGTTAAATCACACGATTTTGGTGGCCAACTGATCGGTCCATTTCTCGAAATTAACGACTCACCAAACTTTCCACGCAATAATTCCATGTTCACTCGAGTAATGTGAAGTGGTGCACCGGCTTGTTGAAAATAAAGGTCGTCTGCATCAATATCATCAAATTCCGTAAAGAAATATTCGGTTAACATCGAGTTATAGCGCTCGGCATTCACAGTAACAGGGTTTCCTTCGTCACTTTCAAAGAAGTACGGAGCAATGATTCCACCGTACCATAAACCGCACCAAACTGTTATTTTTTGCGTATGCAATGGTGATTCATGAGCCACACGTCGATTTGACTCACTTCAATAGCGACAATTTTGTTTATTAACAAATCCATTGAGCCAGAAATGGGCCTCATCTGAGAAGATGATTTTACAATGAAAATCGTCATCGGCTTCCATCATTTCCAGTGCATAATCGGCAAATTTACGACGGATACAATGGTCGGATGGCTTCAATTCTTGTGCCAAAACAATTTTGTATGGGTGTAGGCCCAAATCCAAATGCAAAATACGCCAGGTGGTCATTGGAGAGAGCCCCAACTCTTGTGAACGGCGTTGAACTAATCGATTTGAATTCGCATCAACACTGACCTGAACAGCTGCGATATTCTCTTCACTACGGGCATTTCTTTGTCTCACAGGCACAGCAGTATCGTGGAAAGTGAATTCACTTTCAAATTTTGTTATTATGCAATTTATGAAGGAGCACTATAACGACCGTTTTTTGCGCGAAGCGCTTTTACTGTAGCGGTAGGAGAACGCGAATTTGCGTAATAATTTTGGACAATTTCCAAGCGTTGGTTTAAAGTGAAACGTGACATGATAAAATGGCAAACCTTACTGAACTCAAATTTCAAGAGACGAGACATCAAACATGACCGGCTTTGAGCTGTCAAACCACTTTGACATATATATACCACACATACAATAGTAACTTTATTAAATAATTACTAGAATAATTACAGATATTGAAGCTCCCTGAAAAAATTGGTCATAACATCTACTACTACAACCACATTTGAAATCAACTCATCCTAAAATTTACGGACACAAAATAGACTTAAGAGACACCTGTATCACTAAAAATAATCTACTCTAGAGAACATACTGAATCACTATAATTTAGTTACATACTCAAAACCTACCAATATATAGGCTAGGCAAGGTAAAGAGTACTTGTAAAAACTATTAAAAGTTATTCAAACCTAATAAAATGCCAGGATTAGATAAGATTTCCCTTTAGAAAGTCGTTTACACCCACACGCACCATTTGCTGGTAACTAAATCGTAAGACTACACCCACAGGAAAAAAGCTTAAATGCCAAAACAACCTTAAGGGGCTACCGTTTACACAGAACTATGTGCGTCACCAATTTACTGAACCAGTGCTGGAAACAAGCATCAATGCACTCTATGTAAAATTAGCCTATGATTGTGTTGCCACTGACTGCGATCTATTTCAAATTGGAACGTCTTTGGCCTTCACTCAATTATAGAATATACAAAGACTTAATCTAAACTGAACAGGAGTGGTGGGCTCGATGCCCACTTAGTGCAAACATCTGTATGTTACGTATGTATTTAAAAAAATAATATCTTTAAACTTTCATCTGTATTTAAAAATATTGTTATGAGATTTATCAAAGTCCTCGTTTATATCTAATTCATACGTATTGTTAAAAACGTTCAATCATTACCATTACAACAGCTAGGCAGATAAAAATTTACTAAAATTATCTCAGGACCAGATATTGAATTTTATTTTATTTTTCGACATTCGTCGCTCCATACATAAATATAATAGAATAATCTTTATTGGTTAAATTCTAATATCAATAATTTATCCTTGTCCGATTTGTAAATTGAATTATTTTTCATTGAAGACTAAAAGGTAGTTTACAGTTAAATTATGAGAGTGGCTAAATACGGTAAGATTTAAACCCT